ACCACCCACCCCGCTCCCTTCCCAAGCTGTTCAAATAGGTTTCAAAGGCCATTCCCATTTGCAACATGCCAGCCCCTTCCCGAACACAGGCAAGGTCACAGAGAACAAAAAACATCTTGTCGGCTATTTTCTCTCTTCCCTTCCCAACAATAGCTTTATTAGTTTCCCTGGGGATGGCGAGCCCTGCACCAGCTTCTCACAGGCTCCCTGTCCCTGCTCACATGCCCCGGGGGCCCCAGAGTTCAGCCCTGCCCAGTGGCATGAGCGGCCTCACATCCGGCGAGAAGGGGCAGATCAATTTTTGAAACCAGAGATCCCCACCCAGATAAGGGCCCTATTCATCTCTCCCAAGAAATCAAAATCAGTGGGGGTGGCCCAGTGCCCAGGCTGGGCATTCTCCTGGGGGGTTGGAGGCAGAGCAGAGCGAGCCCAGATCAGCACTGTGTCAACCTCGTCTTCACGCCCGGGGATGGGGGAGCTGGGATCTGAGGGGTCAGGGCCACTTCCAATGAAGGAGGCAATTCCCTCTACATTCGTGACGTTCTGGAGATTTAAATCTCAGCTCAGTGATAGAGAAGGCAAGGCCTGGAAGTGCCTGGAGGAGCAAATCAAGGACCAAAGAAGTCTGGGAAGATTTCAAGGAGGAGCTGGACCTCTGTGCCATGCCCGGAGGCTCTGCCTAATCTAGTTCTTGCCGACCTCTCCGTTTCATCAGGTGTTTCTCCCCCTCCCCATCCCAACCTCTGCCTACCAGCTATGCTCCAACCCCTAGAGCCTTTCAGTTCTTTACTGCATGGGCCGCACTCCCCGCTGCCACAGGGCCTTTGCACATGCTTCTGCCTTTCTCTGAAAGGTTCTTCCTGACACTCTTATAGGCCAGTCCCTTCTCATGATGAGGTCTCAGTGGAGATGCTCTGTCCCCAGAGAGTTCTGCCCTGGCCACTGGTCTAAAGAAGGTACTTACTACTCGAAACCCAGATGTCGGTTACTAAATGGTCATGGCCAGTGCAGTGAGAGGATGTCCAAGGCCCGGCACACAGCAGCA